ATGGTTGTACTCACTCCTTTATTTGTAATGTTATAGGGGCTAGCTTATTAGGACACGACTAAAGGAAACAGGCTGAGGCTTAGGAATTTGATTTGAAAATTAATAAGCCTCATTTATTTTGATTATTGTTATGTATATAATTCAAATGATATTGCCAACTAGGATTGTCCATGTTTTTGGACTTACTTGCAATAGGATGTTGTAAATTGTATTGTGTATTTTAGACCCTAGGGTGTGTATGTACTAATTGTGAAATCCACTTTAGGGCCAAAATACCAGTACAAGTAGAAACATAGTTAGATTGTGATTATTATGGAATGATATGATGTTTTATGAATTTAAGACTCCCCCTTCTATTTTTGTGATTAATGGGTTGAGCATTCAAAATGTGTTTTATGTGTGTTGATAGTGATGTGATCTATTGTATAGGTTCAAAATAGTCTATTGAGTGTGGTTTGGGTTGTGTCTGAAGCTTTTGGCACTTGGTATGAAATTGGGACACCTAAGTTGTGTTTAAGTGGTATAAAAGAGTGAGTTGTGAAATGATTGTTTAATTTTTGATTGAGAAATAATTTGATTGTGAAATTAGTGCCATTAACTAGAGCTTGGAGAAGCTCTCAGTAGACACTTAGATCGCCTGAATCGGATGTCGGACGAAGAAAAGGGGAGTGTCAAAAGTTTTCTCTTATTACTGTCAAATACATAAGATGTGCCATAGTGCATGGCACTTGAGCCACAGCACATGGCACAGAGACATACATGCCCCAATGCACATCTATTTTTCTACAAAATTTTTATTGTTTTCATATTTTATGCAAATGCTTTAAATATTTAATTATAAAGGTATATTGTAATGTTTTAACTTTGAAAACTTGGGATCTTTGTTTCTGAAAAACTTACACACTTGGTAATCTTTTTAGGATTATTCCTTGATTACCTTGAAATTTGAGTTAATTGGAGAATAGTAAGAGAGACTTTACAAATTGGGCTAATTAAACATTAAAGTAAATTTGCAAAAATGAAGAGATAAGTATAGGAACGAAGTCACCAAACATAGGAGATGAAGAGAAGAGCTTGCACAGATGATTTATCCTAGTTCGACTCCCACTACTTAAGTCTACGTCTAGTCCCCAAGAACTTCTTGAGATTTCCAACTATATCCCCAATATTAAACCGAGCTTTTGGTTGCCTCACTTACTAAGTCTAAAACTCTCCCCCTTATAAAGATAATAGTAAATTCCCTTAAGATCCTCTGTTTTGATTATGAAAAATAGGGATAAATAGAGTAAGTTCAAAATGAACTACTACTATTATATACTCTCTCTAAGATTGGATATGTGATCTATGATGCTCACAAACAATTAATGTTTCACTGGAAGTTGGTATAAATTGAATGCGTAGTAATGGCAGAACTTCATTGTTGTTGGCTCTACTATTCTCTTTTTTGTTCTTCATAAATAAGCCTAGTTATAGTTGAAAATCATAAATAATTTGTTAGACTCATAAATCTTCCCGTTGAAATTCAATTATACTTCAACTCCTTCTTTCCTTTATGTTTTTATGGATATTTGAGCTTCTCTGAACTTCTTTGATGAAAGAAGCAATGAAACGGTACTTTATAGTGAATGTTTCTCTTTATGCAAGATAACGGCTATAAATATTAAATGCTCTAACAAAAGTAGGTAAAAGTTTATACCAATGTAACATTTTAGCACAAGTGTTACAAATCAAGAATGATTCACAAAGTGTTTCAACCAAGCAATAATTATGTTTAGATAGATTCTAAGAATATTATATAGACATAATTGATTACAGATGAAAAGAATGGCTGAAAAATGTGTATCAAAGAGATTAATATTGAGAACATAAAACAGAGCATGAATTATCATTTTAGTACCAGAGCTATTTGGATTTAGTACTAGTGCTGTAATAAGAAACAAATGACAGCACAAGAAAAATAGCACAGGTGTTACTCTATTATTACCAAAATAAAGTTTCTTCACAAAAGATGATAATCTTTTTCAATTCAAGAGAATAGAATGGTTTTCTCAAAGAAGATTGATGATACAGGTGCTAACAAAGTAGCATAAGTGTTAATGAACACTTCAAAAGAGCAAGCTAGAGAAACAGCACCTGAGCTATCAAATAGTACAAATGTTAAACCTAGAAACTTGATGGCAAGACAACGAGAAATTTTGAAGAAGTTGAAATAGTACAAGTGTTGTCACAAAGTATTGGTGTTGAAATGAGAATAGTATTAGTACTAACACATTAGTACTGGTGCTAACTTAATAGTGGAAGGTATTTTGACAAAGATAAATGAATAGCACCGGTGCTAAAAGCACAGTATTGATGCTAAATACACTTAGACAAAAAAAGTTCTAGAAAGCAAACTTAGATAAGAGACTCAGCTAGAAAACTCTCACTAGGATATTTAAGGAACCAAAAGATATATAGTTAAGTCAAATATTTAATTAAGTATTTTTGTGACAAGAGACTCAAAATAGATTTAAGGTATTGGTGTTAAGTCACTTTAGGTTAGATAAAATGTTCTGCTAGTTACCTTAACCTTATTCAATTGTGATTACTTAACCATTAAAACAGAACATTCTCTTTATTTTATAATCATTAAAATTAGGATTCAACACTTTTTACTTTGACTGAAGTTTGGACCACCCCAACCCCAACCTCAGTTGAAAGGTAATTCAAACACACCCTTAGGTCCCATTTTCCTATTAGAAAGAAATGTAATGAAATGAATTGAAAAAATAAAAATAAGATGATTAAAGGAGATGTGTAAGCACATTCATAAAAGGGAGGAGTAATTAGTTTATGAGATTGAGAATTATAATTCATAAAATATTTGGAGGGTGTAATGATCCCCACATCTATAGTATATATTAATAAATTTTATTATATTTATTATCGAGGGAAGGGTATTTTAGTTTATTTTTGCTTTGACTTTTTTAATATATTCCATTACATTTCATTATGTAATCAAACAGGACCTTAGAGACAAAGTGCTCCTCTCCAAAAGTAAGCTTTCCACTTTATTAATTTTCTTTTTCAACGTGCTTTAGTTGTTAACCAGTCAGATTTTGTTTCAAAGTGATACATTAGCATTAAGTTGCCAAGTCTTTACAACAATAGAAGTTCTCTACGCTATCTTCCAATTGACAAAACCCCAATAAATTACAATTAAAAGAAAGAAAACTGCACCAACTTAATTTATCTGTATTAAGTAAATGAATAATAATACTTATTTAAAAAATCTAAAAGGGAAACAAAAAGAGAAGAGAAGAAAAGTTAGATTCATCCCAGGGTAACATACAATCACTTTTATGTTGCTTTTGGCATGCAAATAACAATGTATAAATTTAAATAATGCAATTTGCAGGAGGTGACCTTATTCATAAAATCATGAATACTGTGATTCACTTAAAACTCTTTATAGTATGAACCTTATGGTCTAAACGCTCCTGCTAAAATGGAAATAATATCATTTTAATATTCTTTAGGAACCACAGTTTTGTCCAACAAGAATAGTATTCGATAGCCATTTCCATCACACCCAAAAAACAAAAATAGATTCTACTTTCATTTCTATTATATTGTCTTTCCTTACTTTCCATCAAATCAAACACATTGGCCCTCCAAACAAGGAATCAAAATTTGTTTTTCATTTATTTTTTATTTTTTAGAGTATGTGAGAGAAGGAACACAGTTAAAAAAAAAACCCATTCATGCTTTTATTTTTATTTCATTTCTCTCAAATAATTCTTCCTGTCTTTAATAAGAGATAAATTTTTAAAGTCTTTTTTAAGTCCTTAATATAAGATAAAATTAGAACAATTATTTTTTCCAATTTTACCCATTTTTTTATTATTATTTACATTTATAAATAATAATTTATCACAGTTATCAATTGCAAATAAAGGAAAAATTAAAAAGTTACATATTTTTAACAAACTTAAAAATATTACTACTATTTTATAATAAACAAAGTTAGTTAACTTTATCTTATAATAAGAATATGAAAGAGTATATAATATATTATGTTATTATAATGAAGAACAGGACCAAACAAAGCGTTAAAAATTGCTCTTATGTCATTTATTTCAAATTTAATGAGTGCGACTGCAAATTTTCCTTATAAATATCACAAGTCCTTTTTCAGTTAGATACCTTGGGCAACGAGTCACTCCCACCTAGGTTAAATTAGCCTGTCGCACCACACCCAAAACAGAGCATCTTCCTCCACCTTCAATTCAATTTTCTTTTTTCTCACTATGTCTTTCACAGATTTCCCAGAAAAAGAAATGGAAAAAAAATCCAAACCAATGAAAACCAGATTCACTCTTAATTAATTCCATTTCGGTCATTAAATTCCTCTGCAGCAACACTTAAGGCCTTGTTTGGTATGATGGAAGAGTTTTTAATGAAATTGAAATCGGAATCGAAATTGAAATTGGAATCGGAATCGGAATAGAATTGAGTTTTAAAAGTGTGTTTGGTATGAAGATGAAATTATAATATAATATTAATTTATATAGTACTTAAAATAGGAAAAGACTAAATTGCCCTTCTTTTAAATTAAAAAGACATATCTTATTATAAATGGACAAAAAAGATGAGGGTAGTGGGATCCACAAATTGAATTCAATGGAATTGAAGCAATTCCATGGTCAATATGATGGAATTGAATTCTAACATTTTTGATATAATTGGGATTTTTAAGAATTACAATTCTTGCATACCAATCATGCTTAAATTAGGATTTCATCTTTAATTCCATTTTCACCTTGCCAATTCAATGCTACCAAACATGGCCTTAGTTCTCCTTTGCAGGTTTTGCAGATCTGTTTGGAAAACCAGAAACAGCCTGAGAATTTCCTTTTCCTTGAGCCTAAAAAACTACTGAGAAAGATAAATTATTCAAGACAAAACCATAAAACAGATTCCTCTTCATGTACTGTACAGTGACAGTACTCAGAAGTGGAAGTTGCTTTTGAATTAATTATATCAGAAGATTGATGAACTTAGCTTCCTGTGCTGAATGACTTTCCTATTTAATATTCACCATCAATGGAACAACAGTTACTGGGTATTTGCTTCGTAGCTGAAACAGAGTCCCACTAAAACACGCACGCTTCACAATTCTTCAGCATAAAGAAATAAATCCCACAAATTCCAATTTTTTTACATTAAAAAATAAATAGAGTTTAAGTTTGAATCAGAATTACAGAACAACAAACATCCAAGGTTTGTCCTTGTCCTTGTCCTCCATTAATGGATGCTCTCTAAGTCATTTGTTACCAAAAAAAAAAACATAGCCCAGAAGAACTGGATTGTTACTGTTAGAATTCGAGAACAGAACAAATACGTGAAAAATTGCAACCAAAAATTTTGTTTGTATGTTTACCTTTCAGATCATCATCATCGTACTTGATCGATCAAGCTACTTGTGCCCCAGCGATATGGGAACTGGGTTTGAGGAATTCTGCATCAGAAACTGCAGAATTTTCAATTTGGCTAATCTCATCTTCCTCAAATGGAGCAGGAAGGTTAAGATCTATTAAACTGTTGTTATCTCCGAACTTGGTTGGTGGGGTTCGAACCGGAGTTGCAGAACCAGTCACGTGCGTTCGCTTGTGGCCTCCAAGAGCTTGACCTGAAGCGAACACTCTGAAACAAACTGGACATTCATGAATTTTCTTCTCGGCCACCATGGGAGCATTATTTTCATGCTCAATTTCCGGTTCACATATGACCGATTTGATTTTTTTGTGACTCGCTCTGTGACCTCCCAATGCTTGATATGATCGAAACGCTTTCTTGCACGTCTCGCATTTGTACCTTCCACGAACGGATGATCGCGTCTTGGATGATTTCATCTCGTCATAGAATTCCTCAGAATCTTCCACAGATCTGTCTCCTTCGTCGTCTTCCTCGTCCTCCTCGTCGTCTTCTGCTTCCTCTTCCTCTTCGTCTTCTTCTTCGTCTTTTACTTCCTGTCTCTTCCATTTGTCCCTCGACAACATCATAAGACAAAATGCGACATCTTCCTCGGTGGTCGCATTAGAAACCGAACTCAACAGTTCAGGTTCAACCCAAGACGGCTCAGTCTTGTTCTTACTGTGATGATGATGGTGATGATTATGATGATGATCATTACTTGGTTTCATCTTCTTCGGATGATGGTGGAATTGGTTATTATTACATGCCCTTTTGGATCTTGTTCTAGTTGGGTTCTTGGACGACTCAGTCTCGCTTTCTCTGTCTTGAAGAATTACAGAGGCGGATTCTACGACGGGGAAAGAAAATTCTGGATCCACAAGGCGAAAGCTTCTCTTAGGGTTCTCTCTGAGGCCATAGCAGAGACCTTTATCATCTTCTTCTTCTTCCGAGGACGATGATGAAGACGACGAAGCAGACTCGGCCTCGAAGCTGAGTTGGACTAATGGCGGTGGTGGTGGGTCCTCTGGTTTTGGAGGAATAGGAAGGTTCACCATGTGAGACCTCATGTGACCTCCCAAGGCCCTGCCATTAGAGAAGTTTCTCAAGCAGAGCTTGCACTTGTGCTTCTCCATGATCAACCAGGGAAAGCACAGAGGAAAAAGAAAAGGGTTCAGACTTGTGAGCTTATTGACATTTTGTTCATTGAAAGGGAGAGAGAGAGTATGTGTGTGCAAGCGATGATAAAGGAGTAGGTCATAAGCATTCATCCACCAATACGAGACGATATATACAAGGGCACAGAGTTTTGCAGTAAAGATTAATTAATTTGTTTTTTAAAACAGGCAATTAATTTAATTTTATTTTATTTTTTTTCCTTTTCAGAAAAACGTCAAATGGAAAATAAACCTCAATCAATGGGAAATTTAATTAGCGTACGAGCAAAGGTAGAAAGAGCAATATGTAACATGCGAGACTTGCCCGTTGCCGTATTTATTCCCACTCGTTCTCCCCCTTTTCCCATTTCCCAAAATATCCTTAGATTCCATCGTGGGGATAAAAGTAAATAATTAATTCTCTTAATTTTAAATTTGCATTAAAAGAACTCTGGGAAATTAATTAATTGATAATCTTACCAATGGAAACATGATAAATAAAACTTTCTTTTAACAGCTAAGCTTTACGAAAATTATTGACATCTATCTAAAAGTATTAATATAAAATTATTTGCATAAAAGTGGGGTATAAATTTAAGGACTGATTTTAAAAGTTTAAAGATAACTCAAAAAAATGTCGTCAGGTCTTCTGTATGTCCTGAATTTTATTTCACTGAAAAATAGTTAAAAAAAAAAAGCTTTTGTAATATTAAGAAAGGGTATTTTGGAAATTTCAGTGGGAGGCTTCCTGTGTAAACCGGTGGATTACTAGTCCATGTCAAGGAAACTGCTAGAGGGTTTGTTGCAACGAGTAACGACGACGCAGGGTAAAATTGCATTAGCGGATACCAAAGTCTTCTGAACACTTAGGCCCAAGAGGCTGTGACCTGAGCCATCCAATTGGATCATTACACGTCACTCACATGGCCAGCTGTCGTTTCCACAGCCAATGGTATAAGGAACCACAGTTTTGTGTTCTTTGAAGGCCTAAAATAAATTGGAAAAATAAAATTAAAAAAAGGTTTACTAAAATAAAAAAAAGTGACGCATCGTGTTGTGGTGTGGGGATAAGAGTTGAAAAATGAAAAAAAGGCTGTTTTGGTATGTGTTGGCCTTCGAAAATGGATCTATGGTTGTAATGTGTGAAGGGAAAAAAGGGAGGAGAAACTAACTGCCCCTTGAGAAAGGAGCATTATAAGGGAAGTAAATGCCGTTTTGTTAGGGTTTGGTAGACCCAGTCCTACTACTTCTCGTTAACTCTTTTTTCTTTTTTTTTTCTTTCCTTTTTTTTTCTTTTTCTTTTTTATCAACTCAACTCTATTTAATGATGCTTCCTTTAATTTTCTTTCACATTCACATATTTAAATTACACCAAATTAATTTAAATTTAATTAAATGTAAATTTAGAAAGAAAAAATTATGTAAGCGAGGCTCATCTATTATTAGAGTACATCAGGATTCCTGCGGCAACAGCATGTTTGTCTAGTTTTATTTCAACCTTAAGGCAGCCTAAATTTTATATATAATTTTTTTAAAATGTTACTGTATTTGAAAAATAAAAAATATTTTTTATGAGCTGAATTTTGTCTACATGGTTCAAATGTTGGTAGACAAAAAATATTTTTAAAAGTAAAATTTAGAAAAAAAATTAATATGTATATCTTTATAGCTTTTCTCAATTTTAAATTAAGTTTCTTAGCTTATTTTATTTTAATTGATCCTTCTAGGATGATTATTTGGATTTGATTTGGGATAAACTAGCCTACTGGTAGAAAAAATTCTTGTATTTAAAAAATATAGACCAAATTTTTTAAAATTTAAGAATATGATCAGTTCATATTGGCATATAAAAAATTTATCATTTATATACAATGAGTTTATTATTGATATATAATAATATATCATTAACAAATATAATAAACGGTCATAATACAAAATGTAGTAAATATTGGATTATTTGTTTGGTTTGATCTTATGACATGGGTTATATATACAAAAATACCATGGATTTATCAATCTTGAAGGTTAAGAAATGAATTGAAAATTTTTATGAAAAGGTTATATAACTTTACAATCAATTACATAATTCTTATAGCTCAAAATTTATATAATTTTTTATATCTTTCAAATAATTTTTATACATATAAAATTTTCATTAAAAAATTAATAAAAATGTAAACATTATATTAAATAAATTTTTATTTTTGGCCAAAAATATTAAATAAATTTATATAAATTTCAAAAGTGCTTCAAAAATTAATATATTTAATAAATTAAACTATATGGGTTTGATCAAAACAAAATAAAATACAATGAACTAATTTAAAATTGAGAAAAATTATAAGAACTTGCAGATTAATTTTTCCTAAAATTTAACAAATATTGATAAAGAATAAAATATAAGAATACAATATTGAATATGTAAATTAAATATGAAGAATCTCCTAAATTACATGTTATACAATATAACAAATACCAAGTCAAACTCGTACAAAACAAGCTCATTGTCAAGAACCGGGGGTTGAGTCCGCGCTGCTAACGTGAATATTTTATTAGTAAATAATTTATAAATACTTTTAAAAAGTTCATTGGGTCGAGGCTTTTTTCAGTCTATTGTTTTAAACAAGCTTTACAAACTCAACATTTCATAACTTTTCTTGAACGAAATAAAAAGTGGTGTCAGTAGAGCGCAAAGCAAAGCGTGACATTTTCGGGGACTAAACGGTGTCGTCTGACAGGAAAGTTGTGCTGGTCTTCATTTTCCTCCTTCCCACCGCCGCCAATAGGCCTACCCTCTTTTCCTAGCCTTCTGAGTCTCAGTAATATGTCCCAAGTACACAATCAAGCCGGTCAATTAATCACTCGATCTTCAACGTTAACTTTATTTGAAGGGAGAATTTCAATAACAACTCTTAAATCATATTTATTTAAATTTAAAATTTTTAAATTTTTAAAATTTTATTGTAGTTTAAAGGTATTGATTTAATAATAATTTTTTAAAAAAATTGTCCTTCATTTAAATTAATATCATAATTGTTTTACTTCACTTATTTACTTACATAATGTTGTTAATTGATTTATTTCACTTGTTTATTTTCTTAGAATGAAATCAAGTGAAAGTCTAGCATTGAACAAATGAAGTAGGGTGATTAACAAATGAAGTAGGGCGATGAACACTAGTTTATAAATAAATAAGCAACATATAATATAGAAATCAATAATTTGTCTCAAGATAATTTAAACACCTAAAATAAAAACAAGTTAAGTAAGGCAATAACAACATTACATAAGTAAATTAACAAGCAAAGTAGGCCAATAAACAAATAAATTAGGAAAGTTCTGATATTAATTTAAATGAGGGAAATTTTGTCATTTCACTCAGATATTTAATATCAAATCAAAATACTTGGATTGCAATGTAATTTTAAAAATTTAAGGGTTTTAAATTTAAATAATTATGGTCTGAATGTCTTTATTGAAATTCTCCTTTCTTTGGAACTTGGAAGTGAAAAAAAAAAGAGGGGAGAAAATTATGGGGAAGAATCTAAATGAAAAAAATATACTTTTAGGAAATATTACAGAAAAATCTCTTTAAAATATACAAATAATAATAATAATAAAGTCTCACAAAATGTCATAATTCTTCAAGTTCTTGGAGACCTCTATGACATTAATGATTTTTTGTAAAATGACTAAAATACCCCCAGTTTAAAATAAAAAAGTAACATATCTAACTTAAAATAAGTAAATATCAGTGACTAATTTATTTTAAGCAATAGCTATTTTTCTTTTAGTGGTTATGACTAGAATGAAACAACTAATTAAAATTTCTCTTGTGCAACTTTCTTTAGTGAAGCAAAAATGTGTGTCGTGGAAGTTATAATTGCTTGTTCCATTTTATTCATTGTTAGAAAAAAAGTAGTTATTACTTAAACCAAGATAATCACGAATATTTATAACACTTTGACTTTAATGAAGCAAAATTTTATGTGGAAGAAGTTGTAATTGCTTGTTCCATTTTAGTCATTGCTTGAAGTAAAGTCTTGCTTAAATTAAAGTAGTCATTGATATTTACCTCACTTGGACTTCATTGAATAAAAAATCTGCACAGGAAAAGTCATAATTACTTGTTCTATTCTGGTCATTGCCATAAAAAAAGTAGTCTTTGCTTAAATATATTAAAGTAATCATAGATATTTACAACACCAGACTTTAGTGAATCAAAAATTTTTACATAAAAAGTTGCAATTGCTTGTTCTATTCTAATCATTATCAAAATAAAATAAATCATTACTTAAATTAAAGTAATCATTGATGTTTACTCCCTTCAATCCAAAATATAAGCATTCTCTAGAAAATCTTCTTATTATCTAAATTCTCTTTCTTTTTGGTGCTAAATTGTATATGTGGATTTTATACAAATTGATAATATTTGAGTTATATCATCATGTTTTGAAAAATGATAATTGTGGTATACACTATTGTTGGTATTTTTGGAAAGTTTGGATATAAGTGGTTTACTAAATCCACTGTAGTATGTAAGAAAGTTATAAATGTTAGCATTGAAGTATTATATATTTAGAAAAATGATTATGAAAGCTATTATGCTTTTGGCCCTACTGGGTTAAATATGAATGTGACATCATGATGATAGTTTTGTGCACCTTAACAGCATTTGTGGAGTATATTTGGGAAATGTCACATCCCTTGTTGTTTGATTATTGATGGGTTTTTCCCTTTTTATTTTTGTAACATCTTGAATTTCTTAATTCCGTGATTAGTTATTAATCGAGGGTAAAGTGGTAATTAGTGTGGGATTAGAGATTCGGATGATTACTTGATAGTTTGACTCGTAGGGATGTTGTATGAATAGATGCGGGTGAGAAGATTGTGTTACGAGTTGAAGCAAGTTCCTGTGGTGAGAATTCTTCTCACCGTGCCAAGAGCCGTGACATGTGCTGCATAAGCCACAGCACATGGATTAGAAATGACCCTTTAAGTTATGAATTTTGGGTGATTTTTAGAGAGGCAAATTTGAAAACACATAAAAGGAGGAGAAGAGAAGAAGGGCAGGTCAGCT